CAGTCAAAATTCCAAGAAGATTATTAAAAAGGACACTGCATCATGTCCCTGAAGACGTCTGTCTGATTTTATCGCCTGCTGCACCACGAAGCCTATTTAGCTCCAGACAAATTAAATGCTATTTTCCCCCTCGAAACTCTAACATGCACCTTCAAGGCAGCACCTCAATAACAAGAAGACCGAGTAAAACCTAAACAACTCTGACCCCTGTACATTTAGTGTTGATCTGTCCATAGTTAAAAGCATTATCAAAGGAGACACTGAAAGCAGGGGGGAAACGTGCGGGTATCAAAGCCCAACACCACGTAGGAGTTATCAGCATGTAGTCAACAAGCAGGCATACTTTCCACTCAGGACCCAGAAATATCAATACACAACTGGAAGGTTCTCACTGAAAGGAGAAATGGTTTGTTTTGAATTCCAGGGTTCCCATCCCAGCCAGCATTCCGATTCATGGCCAACACAAGCGGAGACAATCAATACATTTGATAGTTCTTTAACTGCAATGGTAGCCGTGGTTACCGAGACATGATTGCGAGGCTGGTGTCCATGGCAACAGCAAAATTGATGAGTCTATATCAATACTTGAGACAAATGATCTGCTTCAAATCACATGTGCACTCGCATGAATAATCCTCCTTTGTAATGAGGAAATAGCTATGGGCAAGAGAATTCATCAAACTTGCGATTTTTCTACTCCTTCAATGATGATATACGTCAACCTGAAGTTTCCACAATGGATGCAGTACACAGGCTAAAACAGAAACTAAATACGTGAAGCTTATTACTAAGATTCATTTGGGTGGGGATAGGGGTGTTGCAGGAGGAACTCTCCCACCCTTTTCCAGACTTTTATTTTAATTTATTTTAATCAGAACATGGTGATGATGTATTGGGTAAAAACACTTCTCGTAACAACAGATATTGTACATACTTTTTCACCAAAACCTTTCCTAGTCCCTAAACCATAATATTTTCCTTTCCTCAAAACCCTTACTTTAGATCGAGTGAGTGAGTGAGTTTGGTTTCATGCCACATTTAGCAATATTCCAGCAATATCACGACGGGGGACACCGGAAATGGGCTTCACACTTTGTACCCATGCAGGACAGGGTGAGTGAGTGAGTATGGTTTTACGTCGACGCTTTCAGCAATATTCCAAACTTTAGATCTAAATGAAGCAAGCAATCCTATATTTTCGACAGGTTCATGAACGTTCTGTGGTCTCTTCAGGTTGAATGTAGTCGCTTGTTTCTACAAACAATTTCTACATGTTCAGAGACTAAGTGTTAGTCTATTTCCTCTTGTACTCCCATGTTTTTGAATAAAGAAAATATTCAAACTGTAAATGTCTAGCTCTTGGTTTGAAAACTTATTTAAAACATGATGAAATATAACATGTGTTACATAAGACAATTAGAATTTACAAAAAATGTTTTACATAAAAGAAATTGTTGGCTATTTTGGAGAAAGTGCAGTGTGAAGTGTCCAACGCATCTGGCCGAGAAGCACGGATCAGGCTGGTGACAAGGGTGACAGTGCTTACTAGTTGGTGTGCTTGCTGTGCTTGTGGCATAAGGACAATAACTTCATAAATTCCATCGCATAGTCAAGGAAGGCAGAAAATTGAATTGTACTGTCTTGTAAAAAAATGTCTATATACTTTTTAACAATATAATATACCTTCTTGCAAATTTGTATATTATTTTGGATTTAATTGTCTTACACATCATCTGAAAAAATTGTAGGGAAATTTTACTAAGAACAGATATATCTTCACTATTGAAGCAGACGTTTAAACATAAAAATAACTTTTTGGCTTATTTTGAACTGAACACAATTTTAGAATTAGTTATCAATGTTTGGAAATATACACAGGTTTACCCAAAGTAGGGAGCTATGAAAATGTGTGAAAATATTGTGCTGTTATGAATCCTTCATTTTACAAGTCCAACATTCCTAGGTAAAACCATTCATATATAACTGCCAATCATTCAACTTTCTTCAGTATTAACGAAAAATCTGTCAGATCATAACTGAACATTCAAGATAATAATTGACAACAAAAATGTTTTTGTAAAACAAAAAAACAAATGAATAATTTTCTCTTATTGACAGCCGAGTTTCTACTTTTTTCTTTGAATTCTGCTGACTGATCACAACATGTTCCAAGTTGGGCAGCAACAATGGAACCTGTTTTTAGCCATATTGAATAGTCCCTTGGAAACATGTCTGACTAGAAAAGAACCCTTGCCTGCTGGAAGCCATTGTTGTTGCACCTGGAAACTCGTTACGGTACAGGTACACCCCTTTGTTCTCCAGTGCATTTCAATCAAACACAGGTATTTAATCAACATGTTATCCATCAAAGACTGAATGTGGCTGCTGCAGCATTGTATCGATATCGATAACGCTGCGCCAACAGTGTACTGATTTATCTCCAGACATCTACACATGTACAGAGAATTTAACACAGTCAGCAAGATCAGCATCATAGGCACACATACCACTCACATGAAGTTAAGGACCACCCGAAACACTACTCAACGATATTACGGAAACCAAATTCAACCATATTACTATAGTTGCCACTTCCACATGACTGTGACCCGTGAAGGTCCGGGTTAGATGAGCCTTCAGTAACCCATGCTTGTCGTAAGAGGCGACTAACGGGATCAGGTGGTCAGGCTCGCTGACTTGGCTTACACATGTCATCGGTTCCCAATTGAGCAGATTGATGATCATGATGTTGATCACTGGATTGTCTGGTCCAGATTCGATTATTTACAAACCGCCGCCATATAGCTGGAATATTGCTGAGTGTGGCGTAAAGGTAAACTCACTCACTCAAATCAAGTTAAGGTCTACCCAAAACACTACTCAACAATATTAAGAAAACCCAATTCAACCATATTACTATAGTTACCACTTCCATATGACTGTGATTACCATGGTAACATTTTGAAGCTAAAAACATTGTTTAACATTATTTTCATGACAGATTAACTTAAGTAATATGAAAGCATCAAGTGGTGTTAAACTTGTTTTAAGTAGTATATTTGATAGAGTTTGGAAGTTTGCTAATTTGATGCAACATTCTTTGAGTATTTCCTCAACTTTGTTCGAGATTGATCGTGATTGAATGACATTGATAGTATTTCATGTAAAAGAAGAATGTTGCCAAGTTAAAAATGAATACTGGACAACATTTAATCCTTGTTGTTTAACACCACACTCAGCAATTGCCAGCTATATGGAAGTGGTCTGTAAATAATCAAGTCTGGATATGACAATCCAGTCATCAACAGCACGAGCATCGATCTTCATAACTGGGACAATATTTAATGAGATGAGTGACTTAAAAAGATATATAATGTAGCAGGGTCTCACTGCACATGAGAGTAAGGTGACAAAAATTCTTATTTTTGATCTAAGCTAAATGATGATCAAACATTATTTGATTTACACAGGTTAACTTTTTCCCTTCTTAATTAAATTTGCAACTTAAAAATTAGGCTCATCAGCAAACAACAAGAACATAAAGTGGCCAAAAAATTAAAAATAAGTTTTAACAAACAGTTTGCCTGTTAAATGTAACAAAGCCTGACACTATGGGTGTGCCATGGTGATAAAATTACACCAGGAAGTGCTACATTTCAAAGTGAGGTCTGTCAGTTTCTTGCACACGGGAGATGCACTGTAAAATAGGCTCCATCCAGACAAATATCGGTTTCATGTTTACTAGATAATCACGTTTAACCTGATATCATATTATCCTTCACAGAGAGAGGTCCCGGGATTGTGATTGAAAACATGTCTGGTGAGATGGTAAGCAGAATGGCTGCCAACATGGCTGCCACTATAGCTGCTGGCTCCCAGTGTTTTCATGGAATGTATGCATTAGTAAAGCATCTGATAACGAATATTCTGCCATGTTTACATTTCCTTGCAGATCAAAGACAGGTTGTGGTCAGAAATGAAGGAATTGTCTGTCCATGTGTTGAGCATCAGCAGTATTTTGCTAAAATTTGGTAAAGGAATTCTTCCGGTACAGAATGCATGTTGGTCATTATGTGTGTTTTTGCTTCTTTGTGAAGCTCGGCATGAGGTTCGGGTTCTCATCCAAACAATCTGGCATCTGTTTTGGTTTGATAACTTATTGTAGTAACAGGCTCTCAGAATGAGAGAATATATGGGTGTTCTTCTAAGTAACTCTCGGATTCTGATTCATTGCAATGAGTGAGTGAGTGAGTTTGGTTTTACGCCGCTTTTAGCAATATACCAGCAATATGATGGCAGGGGACACCAGAGATGGGCTTCAAACATTGTACCCATGTGGGGAATCAAACCCGGGTCTTCGGCGTGACGAGCGAACACTTTAACCAATAGGCTACCCCACCGACCCCTATTGCAATGAACAGGCTCAATGACGCAATCCCCCTCTACTGGCACTATTCTCTTTATATCAAAGAGGGGAACGGTCACTAGACATAAGATACCTACCGTAATCAACATAATAAGCGCCCTGGGCACTTAGTTAAAAAATATTCAAGGGGGCCTAGTTAGGATAACCCTTTCGAGAGGGCGCTAATTAAGAACGTTATTAATTAATTGTGGTTGACATCCATGATGTTAGAGTGTGTGTCTGTACGGCAGGTGGCTTGTTTGTACACCGTTCTCTTGTTATAACAGTAACTTTTGGGTTCAAGGATTACACATCATGTCAGTGTAAATGACACAGATATACAGTTATTGCCAAGTTTGATAAGAGGGAACGGGGTGCTCTGTGTGGTTGAATTTCTATTAGGGAGTGCTTATTAGGGAGGGGACACTAATTATGACAATCAAACCCTATGGAATCAAACCCTATACGTTAACATGGCAAGCCATTGCTTGATCCACTAGGCTACTCCATGTCCCTGCAGGAAGCAATGAACGTTCAGCCAGGACCATGAACAGGAACAGTGGGGACCAAAGTGGCAGGAACATATTGGTCTTACCTTGATCTTTGGCTGAGTTTCTCTGTGTCCTTGACAAAGGCTGTGACTGTGGCTGATCGCTGTCTGTCGCTGATCTCAACATATATACTCCAAGGGCTGTTCTCGCTCACCACAGCATCTCGAATCAGAAGCCCATTGTGTACCTTCACCCTGAAAACAATATGGTGGGTTTACTTCAAGGAAGCAGGAACATTAGCAGAAATGAAGTCATTGTGATTTGAATCAATCTGGATTTGTCTCAATGTGTCACATGCAGGGGTGGAAATAACCCATTGCCCGATGCCCCAGTCCAGTGTTTTTTTCTGTCGGACAAGCAAATTTGCATATTACACTGTACCAGTGTCCAGTTGACTTTCCAGTGTTAATTATGTTGTTTATTTAAAAAATCAACAAGACAATCGGCCAGTATAGTGGAAAAATTATCAGGGCAAGTGATTTTACATGTGCCACTGTACCGGAGTTCACTAGCAATTTTAAAGTTATTTCCACCCCCGACATGGCACAGATCACAACATTTTGACCATAACTTGAAATCCGCATCAGTCAGACGTAGTCTGTCATGTAATGACCATCCAAGCTGTGCACTGGTAGTTTGTTTAGTTTGTTGACTTACTGCACTCAACAATATTCCATCTACGATTCAGTCGTCTGTAAGCGTCTTTAAGTCCAGACCAGTCTATCCAGTGATTGACATTGGGATATTGTCTGTCTCACAGTCCCTGAACCATATTATTTTCCCTACAGCCTTGCCCTCCCTGCAGTGCAAAAGCCCTAAATGAAGCAAGTTTAGATTTCCCCAGGTTCTGAAGCTTTGGTCTTCCTGGGGTTTATTTGTTACAATCAAAATTATATATATATTCAGAGACTAAGTGTTAGTCTAATTGGGATTACAACGATATGCATAAACCATGCCATGACACCTGACCACCAATCTCAACAAGTAAATCTCAACAGCTCTAACCTTAATGCTTAGAGTGAACGAGTGAGTGAGTTTAATTTTACATTTAATGTTACGAAGGTTTCATATATAAGGCCAAAAGAATATATATGCCTGTTTCCTATTACACGCTTTTTAAAAACAGGGTAGGTGGGTCGGTTTTATCTCTTTTATTTTTACTCTTTTTTTTAAAGTAGCACCAGGTGGGCACCTGAGAAGGTATTCAAGAGTGCCATGTCATGTAGTGACAATGCCTTGTGATGAAACATTGAAAGATTTCTATATCAAATCATTATGCATGTTATCTATTTACAAGTTTTGTCAGCGAGAGCCCATTATGCCAATTGAATGGGAAACGGACATATTTTGTTCGTTTTTTGGGCTTAATGACATGTATGTTATTCATTCACATGCCAACTCATGGACTCTGTTCACACTCATTATGTTTCTAAGTTTATCAGCACAGATTCGCCAAAGTGGTAAACATTTCAGACCTGTATCACTTCAGACCTCCCTCCCACGGTGAACCAATACTCCATGATATAACCTATACTGCTGTACCCAACATACTCACACATAAACCCACCGACCAACCCATCTCACTCACTCACTCATCCACCACCCATCTCACCCACAGACCCACCCACTCATCTCACTCATTCATCCATCTATCTCACTCATCCACCACCCATCTCACCAACAGACCCACCCATCTCACCCACCCACCCATCCAACTCACTAATACACCCACAGACCCCCACCCACCCATCCATCCACAGACCCCCATCCACCCAGCCACCCATCCCAGCCATCTCATTCACTCACTCATCCACCCACCCATCTCACTCACTATATACTTGTACAAACTTAAACATTTATCAAGGACTATTGTCAAAAGATGGCTTCTATAAAGTCAAGTTTTATTCAGGTAGTTCAAACACCACATTTTTAATCTGTAGATGCACATTTGATTCAGTACACTTATCAAACAGAAATGTTTGCCTAGAAACAAGTTTTTCATCTACATACTCTGATCATGGTCTCTTTCATGTTCAGTAAAATTCCCCAAATGTTTCTATCTCGACTTTAAAGCTTGTCCAAGGATCAATTCACATAAAGATGATCTGATTAGGTCATTTCTTAAGGTGTAAATATGAAGTTTCCATGGCAACAGTTTAAGTTTGAGTCCTCAAAGGGATCTCTATGTTTAATAAGCCACAGATGGCGTATGGCTCTAATGTAAGTCAAGTCGTACATATTATCATTCTAATTTCACCACACCAGACTTCCAACAATAAACAACATGCTACTGGGACAACATTCTTTATGCCCACAATTGCCAGCGATAAAATCTTCCCATTTGCCTCGGGGACAAAATACCCAAGAGATGGAATAAATCAAGCTGAGGAACTACTTTGCTGACAGTCTTGCTTTCACAGATGGATGAACACAGTGGTCAGTGAGGTGGCACATGGGCTGTTGTTTACACCAAACGTATCACTACATGCCACAAATTTTGCACTCATGTTGACAAAGTAAAAAATGAAATGTCAGAACTTTCTAAACTTTCACAATTTGATTCCATCATGGGAGATGTTTAAGCGTTAACTTTACAGCGATTCAGAGCGAATTCAAGAAAAAGGTGACCCAGATTGAAGAAGGCGGTGTTTGGCTATATTGTTACACGTTGCTGTATTAACCCTGTCATATTTTTTGGTGCTCCTTTGACAGACAATCCTTCACGAGTGGATGGGGTTACCTCTCACAACCTGAATAATCGCAGACCGACTGCAATATCTCTCACCCAGGTCATGGGAGTGGTGTAAATTACAACCCCTGTCTTGCTGATGCTCCCGAACAAGGAAACTTGTCTGACCAACCCCATAACTCCATAGTGACCCTGACATTTCACTGTCAGTAATATACCTTACATGACAGGCACAACCATAACCATCTATCCTGACTGAGATGTATGTAAAACACATTCAAACAATGGCCTACAGGGAATAGCATAGACCTGCTCAGATGATGGTATTCAGTGAAGTCAAGAAATAATTTGTTTCCATTGCCTTGCTGGGAATAGCATGGACGTGATCAGATGATGGTATTCAGTGAAGTCAAGAAATAATTTATTTCTAATGCCTACAGGGAATAGCATAGACCTGCTCAGATGATGGTATTCAGTGAAGTCAAGAAATAATTTATTTCCAATGCCTACAGGGAATAGCATAGACCTGCTCAGATGATGGTATTCAGTGAAGTCAAGAAATAATTTATTTCCAATGCCTTGATGGGAATAGCATAGACCTGCTCAGATGATGATGAAGGTATTCAGGGAATAGCATAGACCTGCTCAGATGATGGTATTCAGTTAGTAAGAAATAATATATTTCCAATGCCTTGCTGGGAATAGCATAGACGTGATCAGATGATGGTATTCAGTGAAAGTCAAGAAATAATTTGTTTCCAATGCCTTGCTGGGAATAGCATAGACGTGATCAGATGATGGTATTCAGTGAAAGTCAAGAAATAATTTATTTCCAATGCCTTGCTGGGAATAGCATAGACATGATCAGATGATGGTATTCAGCAAAAGTCAGCAGCAAACATGACCCACGATAATTACATATTTCAAAATTCATATCATGCAGTAAAAATAATTGTACAGCTTTCTACAAAAACCTTTTCAGTAATAGTTATAAGCCTGTTGAATATCTCTTCTTCAATGTTATCTGTGAACAAATGCATAATAGTATATAAGAAAATATGAATTGTCAAGTAAATCTTTGGTCTTATAAGAGACCATATAATATAATCTCTGCTCTTATCCATGAGTGCGTGTAAACATTACAGACTCGTCTAGAAGGGTTTGGGCAAGGAAGGAGGGTGTTACATGAAGGAGCGTGGCAATAAAAACTGTGTTGTTATTATTTTAAGTACAAACTTCAGTATTGTTCACATACATCAATTCTATTACAATTCTCATTCTCAAATATCAATACCATTATCATTCTCATACACTCCTTATAATTCTACAGTACCAAATTGAATTATTATTTTCAAATACAAACTTCAGTATTATTCTCATACATCAAACAGTTTCACAACAATTTTTATTCTCATAAATCAAATCCATAATTCTCAAACATTCATTTCATTTCCCAAATTCCATTATTATTCTCACATACAAACTGAGTTATTATTCTCAAACACAAACTCAGCTATTATTCGTTTGACTTGACAGGAAGAAAAAACTGGTGTGATGCAGATCTACAAGTAGTGACAATCGGACCAAAACTGGTCACAAATATTTCTCATTTTCATTTCATGGACCTGATGGAAGTCTCCAAGCTACCATGACAAAAAGATTCCCATAACTCCTAGATCAACATGCAAACCACAGAACAGACATGTTCTCTAAAGATTCTGACAGATATTAGGAACCAAGGCAAGCTTCCCAAGCTCTAGAGTCAAACAACATATCCTAGAACTGCCATGTTCTTTTAAAGATTCTGAAAGGAATTAAGAACCAGGACAAGCTTCCCCTTGCTTAAGAGTCCTACAACATATCCTAGAATAGACTAACATATCCTAGAATAGACTAACATCTAGTGTCTGAAATGAACAGTTCCTAAATTACAATAATAAAATATGTGAAGGAGCCAAGAGACTTTCTTCATTTCCTGAAACTGTGGAAATCGAGACTTGACACCTATTCTATACGTGCATGGGCTTTCTTGGATATATTTGTTTCAGGGTCTGTATGACTGGCTAATCCTGTTACTGCCATGTTCTAATAAAGATTCTGAAAAGTATTAGGAACCAGGACCATGAGCCTCCCTCAGCTCAAGAGTTCTACAAACACATCACAGAACTGCCACATTCTTTTAAAGATTCTAAAATTATTAGGAACTATGACCACAAGTTTACCCTCGCTCAAGAGTTCTCCAAACATATCTCAGAACTGCCACGTTCTTTAAAAGATTCTAAAATTATTAGGAACCATGACCACAGGCTTTCCCTCGCTCATGAGTTCTCCAAACATATCTCAGAACTGCCACGTTCTTTAAAAGATTCTAAAATTATTAGGAACCATGACCACAGGCTTCCCCTCGCTCAAGAGTTCTACAAACATATCTCAGAACTGCCACGTTCTTTAAAAGATTCTAAAATTATTAGGAACCATGACCACACAAGAGTTCTACAAACATATAAACATTCTTTAAAAGATTCTAAAATTATTAGGAACCATGACCACAGGCTTCCCCTCGCTCAAGAGTTCTACAAACATATCACAGAACTGCCACATTCTTTAAAAGATTCTAAAATTATTAGGAACCATGACCACAGGCTTCCCCTCGCTCAAGAGTTCTACAAACATATCACAGAACTGCCACATTCTTTTAAAGATTCTAAAATTATTAGGAACCATGACCACAGGCTTCCCCTCGCTCAAGAGTTCTACAAACATATCACAGAACTGCCACATTCTTTTAAAGATTCTGTAAGGTTCAAGAAGCATCATATCAAACTCCGATCCCTCCCTCCCGACAGACCTCTCACAAGCCTTCCTCCTCCACTTCACACCCAGTGAGCCCAGCACTTTCCGAAACTGTCATGTGACACCCCCAAGTCAACAATCCCCTCAGTACCAGTACAGTCCCCTGCGCTACTTCAACCCTATCAAGTAATCCCAGTGAGCGGAGTACTACAGCAATGAAGTGCTCCTCTCACGCTGTCCTCAACCCATGTGCCTGTCCCTCCACGCATTAATGCAGGAAATATCATATCATCATTTTCATTTTTTTTCACGCTGAACATTCTTGTGTTACTGTTTTTTTCGCATGAGTCAACAGAGTGGTAATTGTTTTTTGAATATACTACTCCATCGTGAGGTGGTATGACAGGCAGGTTGAGGGTTTTACACATATCTGTTTCATAGCCCTCTCCAATATGTCATATGGCATTTAGTCAAACTGGTGGATATGACAGTATACCATACCACACACTGCACAACTAAAGACTCATTGAATCCCTACTGATGTAACCATACCACACACACTCTTCTGATACAATTTGTCCCAAATAAGTTTGCTTTCTTCTTGTTGTTTCACACAGAACTCAGCAATACACTCGTCATATGGCATGTTACTGTATCCCAATTGTATCGATCAATGCTCATCATGTTAATCACGTGATTGTCTGATACATACCTGATTAATCACAGGCTGTCATCAAACAGCATTAATACTGAGTGGTGTGTTTCCAAATATAATTAAAAAGTGAATGTAACTAGACTGACTGACTGACTGAGTTTGGTTTTACGCCGCTTTTAGCAATATTCCAGCAACATCACGGCAGGGGACACCAGAAATGGGCTTCACACATTGTGCCCATGTGGGGATTCGAACCCGGGTCTTCGGCGTGATGAGCAAACGCTTTAACCATTAGGCTACCCCACCGGCCCGAATGTAACTAGAAATATATCCAGTTGCAATGAACATGTTACACCAATGTGAGTGAGTGAGTGACGCTGCTTTTAGCAATATTCCAGCAACATCATGGCGGGGGACACCAGAAATGGGCTTCACACATTGTACCCATGTGGGAAATCGAACTGGGAGTTTGACATGACGAGTGAACGCTTTAACCACCAGGCTACCCCACCACCCCTTTCATCTTTACGAATAATACAGGTTCATAAACATCAGTTTCAGAGTATCTCACATCTTCTTAGATCAGGGTTCCGATCCACAAAGCATTCATAACATTATGATCTGTCGCAACTCTATAGTTTTTCATGGGCTTATGAATGTCATTGAGCTACGAACACTTTGTGCATTGGGACCCAGAATTTGAAAATGTTAAGTTTTTCAGTTGATGTTACATTTAATCCAGCATATGTAAATTCACACTCACTCACTAACTCACTCACACTCAATAATATATTTGGGTTTTTTAATCACAGAAATAAAATGGCCATCTGCTTCGAAACCCACAAGAATGTCACCAAGGATTGTTGAGCATTGTTATGAATTATTGATCGACAGTTATATTCCATAACGTCCTACTGCAGTGTTATACAACACCAGCATCTCACTACACGAACTACTGGCTTAAATGGAACCATACAAGAAACTGTCCCAATGAAAAGATAGCTGTTTACACTCCGCTCCAGGTTTATCCCACCCAACCATACTTCAGCATGGAACAGCCATTAACAAACTCCAGTCGTCTGCTTCGAGGGTTCGCTTGTCTTACCTATCAGTCGGGGATCACATACTGTAAACAACAGCTAACCTCCGCCATTGTAACTCCTACTCTTCCCAGTGCTCTAAACCTACAGGATTTGCCCAAAAGCTTGCCGTCTGTAATTGTAGTTTGTCTTCAAAGCCCAGGGTATAAGACCCCGTATACCTCAAGTCTCAGGTACAGTCCGTATTGTCCAGCCAGGAGTTATATTTCTAAGGTTTTCGAGACTGGGATTTTTTTTAATATGGTTTGTAAATTGCTTGTTTTTTTCCACAGTATTGCAGAAGACGGTTGTTGATAGCACTGGCCGTGTTTGAAGTGAGATGGGAAATCGTTTGATAAACACACGCCTCCATATTCACAGAGCAGTTTGGTTTGCATAACCTTTCCCAGGCTTATCTCCAACGCTGGATCACTTTCTAGAAGAATGGCCGAACAAAAAGGTCTCTGCCAATACACAGCAGACGTACTCAAATTGGCTCAATTACAACCAATCATTATTATCCCACACGAACATGGTCAATTTGCCCCTCGTTTATCTTACAGCATAACCATCAAAGATAACTGCTTCAATTTTCATGTCAGCCATCTTGACAGGACTTCTTTCATGACACTCCATTGAATACTGAACACAAACTGCTGACTTTTCAATTACATTGAGCCAGTTCTACAAGATAACATCTTATCATGCAGTTAATGACGGCACGAAAAATGTAAGGATACTTAAATGCAATTTCAAAAGCATGTTTTCATCAAGCAATAACACAAATTGGCCTTTCACACTTTTTCATATTTTGCTGACATGCGACTTTCTTAAGGCTTTGAATTATTTTGTAATTAACTGACAGTATCACATACTTTCTTTCTCTACATCTTTGAAAACAGAAACATCATTATATCATTCTGGAATGATTCAACTATGCAGGGATAAACATGGATAGTCCATTTGACAAATAATAATCGAGCCAGACCAGATGTTTTATCCAAAAATACCTATTTATTTTCCCCAAAATAACTAGTTATTTTCCGTAACCAGTATTCTGAATTGACACCAAGATATTCCCATTATTTCACAGACATTTATGCTTAAATGACTGACGATAGTGTGAATATACAGCTGAGTCTCAGATATATCCTTGCAACTTGAACCATTGACAGTGACAGAAAGCATAAGTCATGATCCATACCAGAGCAAATCAAACTTAATCATTTTCATTTTTTTTCACGCTGAACATTCTTGTGTTACTGTTTTTTTCGCATGAGTCAACAGAGTGGTAATTGTTTTTTTGAATATACTACTCCATCGTGAGGTGGTATGACAGGCAGTTGAGGGTTTTACACATATCTGTTTCATAGCCCTCTCCAATATGTCATATGGCTTTAGTCAAACTGGTGGATATGACAGTATACCATACCACACACTGCACAACTAAAGACTCATTGAATCCCTACTGATGTAACCATACCACACTGTACTGATACAATTTGTACGGAGAGGTTTTGTTGTTTCTAAGATCACTGACTGACTGGCTGAGTTATTCCAGCAACATTCGTAAGTCTATGTTACAGTATGAGAGTTACGATCACCTTAGCACTACGACTGTCCTAAGTCTACGTTACAGAATGGAAGTTATGATCACCTTAGCACTACGACTGTCGTAAGTCTATGTTAAAGTATGGGAGTTACGATCATCTTAGCACTACGACTGTCCTAAGTCTATGTTACAGTATGGGAGTTGCGATCACCTTAGCACTACGACTGTCATAAGTCTATGTTACAGTATAGGAGTTACAATCATCTTAGCACTATGAGTATGTAGTGAAGTCTATGTTACAGTATGGGAGTTACGATCACCTTAGCACTACTGACTGTCGTAAGTCTATGTTACAGTATGGGAGTTACGATCACTACTCTTGTCGTAAGTCTTTGTTACAGTATGTCGTCACTTTAAGTCTATGTTACAGTATGGGAGTTGCGATCACCTTAGCACTACGACTGTCGTAAGTCTATGTTACAGTATGGGAGTTACGATGGAGCACTACGATCACCCTATGTGTATGGGATCACTTCACCTTAGCCTACAACTACACCTAGGGGCAGATTCCATTACTTGCCACTTAAAACAAACATGGGTTGACAAATTCTAGTTCTAATCCCATATTCACGAGGTTGATCGCTTTGTAAAGCAGAACTGTGGTTTTACTTACTTGATGACAATCACTTGAAGTTTGGAACCAGTATCCAGGTATACAGGAACATCAAACTTTGCCGCTGGAAAGAAATCCTGCGTGGGTACGTGAAATATAAGATTCTGATCCTTCCGTATTTCATAGTTGTATTCCTTTTCCGCCAATCGAATCGTTGCAATGAAGGTTTTTTTCTGATTGGTATTGCCCGACATGGAGCGTCCCGGTACGATGGAGTTGGATGCACTGGCACATTCATGGTTGGCGCCGACTCGGGAGACGTGGTAATACACAGACACGTCGGTGTCATTATGGTGCCACCAATCCGACGGAAGCTCGATGCCCATCACACACGCACTGTCTCTCTCACTGAGAACGCACACCGCAGACAACTGCTGATGCTGATGCTCCACAAACATCTGACCACACCATTGCTGATCGTATCCATAAACATTGTACATTCCATCAGCTTTCCGACTGTTGAGTGGCTGAGCATGCACCAGTACTTGTAAAAGTGACCATTTGGGTGTCAGTCTGTCAGTGACAATATGTGCACTTAAGTCCGTGTTGTACAAGATCTGTCTATGCATGAGGTTGAGGTTCTCGCCCTCATTCCTGGCATCCTCCAGGAGAGAGTCCGCTACTGACTGGTACACCTCGAACGGTCCATGATGAACCCGGAGCTTGTACAGCTCAGAAGGATGGGTCACAATAAACGTCTCCTTCTCCAACACCCGCGGATCCTTCGCCCGGAGCTTCTGGTACGGTGACTTGAGGAAGAAGCCATCTTTCGGGTCATTGAAGGATATGTCCACACCCCGGACTATACCTGAAATATCAACAGGAAAATTAGTAACATTTTCAAACATCAATCTTAGGAAGATCAAATACAGAGACATTCGAACCTGCAGCATCCAAGGAATAGCCCAGAAACATTGTGACATACAATAAAGAAGAAGTTGTCATCCATTATATTTGCGTTTTTGTTGAATGCCAACTTCTACATGCCTCTCAAGAACCTTGTTACTTTACTACATTGAATAAAGTGAGCAAGTACAATTCTACAACACCTTCAGCAATACTGCAGCAGAGCAAAAATGAAGAACACCGGAATTGTTCTTCACACATTCTACCCAAGTTGGGAATCAAACCCGGGCATTCAGCAATATGGACACTTTACCCATTGGGCTACTCAATAACCCAAATGACCTTTAAAGCCCTTATCAGCATAAAACTGGTCCCCAGAGTTTTCAAGACCTTATTTTTAAACTATTCTCTACACAGTTACAAGAAGGACATTGCTCTTAGGGCATGGCCTCTACTGTCTTCAAACAGAAACAGTTCCTACTTGGGGCATTGTGCACTCAGAATCCCCACAATCAGATAAGTGCCATGGACCTATCTGGCCTAGCAGCTCTACACTACAGGAGTTTGTGCTTACTAATGCTTAGTCTCTGAATATATATAAGTTTGATAGTAACAAGCAATCTCATATAATTTGAAAAGGAGCCCCAGTAAAATGGGGCCTGAACCTGAAGAAATCTAGACTTACTTCAGTTAGAGCTTTAGCATTGCAGGAAGGGCAGCAGGGAAAAGTATGTGGTTCTGGGACTTTGAGACAGACTACAGTTTTGGGTCTTCTTTGGCATATTCTCACATAGTGTTCTGTGGACACTGCGTCAAAGTAGACCATATTTCACACAGCAACACAACAATATTTTCAAAACTATATTTTTCTACTCTATATTCAGCTAGAGTGGCAAAACAGAATAGGAACATTCTGCGTGTTTTTTTTTGCCAGATGCTGTATCGCTATAACGTAAATAAACACTGGCTATTTCAAACCTCCAAAACAGATCATTAACTCTAGTGCCAAAAGTCCTTGAAAGAATGCCACATCTTTTCAACCTCCACCAACATGTCTGCCAATTTGAAATCGGACACGGCAAGCCGAGGAAGCTTGAAAATACCTGCTGATATACAGTGGGGAGGGAGATACTGTGGTTATTTTATCAACATATTCGATAAGAAAAAGCGTAAGTGTTTCTCCATTATTTACTTGGCATTTTTCAAGGACATACAGAATTCCACACGTATTCAAAGTTCCAAAAAAGAAGCCCAAATACCTTAAAGTTGACATCACAGGGCAACAGACAAGTCTTTTGAAATATATGGGGTGGTGGGGTATAGAGGTGGTCAGATTAATTGAAATAATCGAAGATTGGTCGCAATGACTGAATGACCAAGCAATCGATCATGTTTTCTCATAATCGAACACAAACAAGTTTGGTACACTTGTTTGCATTAACAATATTTTTCAAGAGGTTGGTTTTGTCTGTTACATTTCACAAGCACTACTAGCTCATTCCAAGTCAAGACTGAATTTATCTTAAAGAGTCCAGGTAATTTATGTTCCTAACATAAGTCATCCTGTAAAGATGTGAAATTTGCAAATGCATTGTGTGCAATTTGAAAAACCCACGAAAGAACGACATGTTTTTTCTTTATGTTTTGTGCATTAAGAAACATAACCAGTAAAATTTGATAAATGACGCTAACCAATTATTTTCGATGATTGATTGGTTGTAATGAACCAATGATCAATTATGAGATTTATACCACTTCCCAACACTAGTGGGGTAGCCTTGTGGTTAAAGCATTCGCTCATCACGCTGAAGACCTGGGTTTGATTCCCCACATGGCCGCTGTTTGCCTCAAGAATCATCATTTATAGCACAGTCAATACTAATCTCCTGAAGAGTAACGGAGTCAATGACAACTCCAAGCCATTCAAGACACTCAAGTCACTGGGGACAGTGGTGTAGCCTAGTGGTTAAAGCGTTCGCTCCTCACTCCAAAGGCACTGGTTTAATTACCCACATGGGTACAATGTGTGAAGCCCATTTCTGGTGTCCCCAGCCGTGATATTGCTGGAATATTGCTAAAAGTGGCTTAAAACTAAACTCACTCACTCAAGTCACTGAACTGATAGCAAGTCGTTGATCAGACAAAATGATCTGATACAGACACAAGGAAATGACACTTGAATCATTGAACTGATTCCAAGTAAATGGCGCCACCAAGTAACTGAACTGATACTGAGTCACTGATATGTCAATCATGACTCAGCGTCAAAGGGCAGATAACCCAGAATCTGCATTGCTGCTACCATTCCCACTTTAACACTTGATGATTTTGTTCTCTTTGGACATTCCATGTCATTCCTTCTGATTTACATCTACAATTCTCATACAGAAATGGTCACAATTACTCCCATCCTTCCAAGCTGCATCCCTCCACCCCAACCTTTGAGCTCGACCCAAGTTACAGGTAACTAAATTAGGGCAGTTATACTCCAGCCGACATGCCAAACATTCTCAAACACTGTTGATGACATGGTGTCCGTCTAAATTACAGACCAGCACCCATTAATAGCCCCGGTTCGACTGTACCGCATCAATAACAGTCTTGATTGGCTATTGACAAGCTGGGCCTATGTCATGTCTTGTGCCCCCACAAAGGTGGTTTGTTATTTTGTTATTTCCCCTGTGAAAATCCTTCATCTGTAAACTTTGATGTTCATGAAAAATGTACCATTGCTATCTTCTTGTAATTTCAAACAACTCTACTGCGCATTGACTTCTCTGAATTCAGATCATTGTGTGTCAGTTGCCTATTGCCTACTTGTTGTAATTTCAAACAACTCTACTGCGCATTGACTTCTCTGAATTCAGTTCATTGTGTGTCAGTGTGTCAGTGCCTACTTGGAGACACAAAGGTAATCTTACCAAGAAACCAGTGAAACTGTTTGAATTGTTATTTTATGTTAACTAAATTCCAAACAAAGACATACACTCATCTACATACCCTAAAAAACAAACACACATGCTCATATCACTTAACACACCTCACACAATGATCACACATCACACAAGAAAAAAACAAACCTCACACAACACTCAAAAACACATGACAAAACAGTCACACAACACACAATGTGATACACCCTACACATCCACTTAACTCAACACATACACATCCAAATAACTCAACACATACACATCCACATATCTCAACACATACACATCCACATAACTCAACATACACATCCACATAACTCAACACACACATCCACATAACTCAACACACACATATCCACATAACTCAACACATACATATCCACATAACTCAACACACACATCCACATAACTCAACACACATATCCACATAACTCACACACATATCCACATAACTCAACACACATATCCACATAACTCAACACACACACATCCACATAACTCAACACACATATCCACATAACTCAACACACACACATCCACATAACTCAACCCACACATATCCACATAACTCAACACACATATCCACATAACTCAACACACACACATCCACATAACTCAACACACATATCCACATAACTCAATGCACACAAATCCACATAACTCAACACACACACATCCACATAACTCAATGCACACACATCCACATAACTCAACACACACATCCACATAACTCAACACACACACACACACACACATAACTCAACACACACACATCCACATAACTCAACACACACACCCATCCACATAACTCAATGCACACCCATCCACATAACTCAACACACCCATCCACATAACTCAACACACACACACACACACATAACTCAACACACACACACACACACACACACACACATAACTCAACACACACACATCCACATAACTCAACACACACATCCACATAACTCAACACACACACATCCAACCATCTAACAGAAAAACATGAGCTATAAAATTTTCAGGTTCCTTTGCTGACAAGCCAAAATCAAATGAAAGACATTAGCAAAATAGCCAGATTCCTGTAAAAATCGAAGGGCAAGCCCACCAGGAAATACCCTCAACACCCTCCTATAACATTATGTTCTCCACCTTGTTACTACTTAGATTAATTCATCAAATGTTTGGCAGAACCATGTAATGTTCCACTTATAACAACTTAATGATACCATTTCCCATCCCAAGCATATAGCAACTGCTCTGGTTGTTTGTGACACTGGAATGTTTTAACTGGAGCGACACTAGAGATTTCTCCTCACACCTCACATTAAACACAGGGGACCTCCATTTCAGCCGGTCAGTGCTCACCGACCGCCCACAGAGTTGCTGGCATATAGCTGTAGATTATCATCATCTATAATGTGTAAGATATTAGCCGTAATCCCCAATAATCCCCTGGCTCATGAACACCACCAACGCTGATGTAGAGATTGCCGAGCCTGCTGCTGCCCCCGGCCAACACGTGAATGAACATACAATATTATCTATTTCTTTGTGTTCCATTAAACAGACCTTGCCAAAATGTCACGGCCTGGATTCTTCTCCCTGACCGAGATAAATAATAGCGTAATGGTGGAAATCAGGACCACACCTCATGATAATGCGTCTTATTCATACAATGTTATGTGTGGAGCTCATGAAGAGGGGAACATACTCCCAAATACCATACTATTTACATCACATACCACACCATACCATACACAATGTATATCACATGTATCATACCGCACACGATATATATCATATCATATATATCATATATCTCATACATAACAACATACCTCATACCATATTTATTACCCATATGGTGAAACATAACCAGTGTCATATATATCATATGTGCAGATATCACTTTTGCCTTGCAACCATTCAGGGGTGGAAATAACCCATTGCCCGACGCCCGAGTCCAGTGTTTTTTTCTGTCGGGCAAGCAAATTTGTATATCACACTGTACCAGTGTCCAGTTGATATTCCA